CGCCCCTCCGCCGCGGGGGTCCCCTCGGCGCTGGGCAGCCCGCCTGGCTCGATGGAGGGGCGGCCCGCCGCGAGGCGCTCTGCGCGGTTCTCGCCGTAACCCCGTGCCGCTTTGCTGGGTTTCCTCGTGCTTTTGGTAAAATGGCCTCCCCGCCGCCGCGGTGACAAAGGGGCGAGCCCCGTGCTCGGGTACGGCGTGCCCGGCCAGCCCCCGGGGCCCGGCGGGGCGGGCGGTGCGCGGCCGGAGCCGCCTCTGCAGCGCGGGGCTCCGGGCACGGCAGGGGATGGGCGGCCCGGTGCTAGCGGAGCCCAGTTCCACCACAGCCCGGTGCTAGCCAGCCCGGCGTTACCGGAGCCCGGTTCCACCACAGCCCGGTGCTAGCCAGCCCGGCGTTACCGGAGCCCGGTTCCACCACAGCCCGGTGCTAGCCAGCCCGGCATTACCGGAGCCCGTTTCCACCGCAGCCCGGTGCTGCCGGAGCCGTGGGATGCGCTGAGGGCTCCGGGGATGGGCTGAGGGAGGGATGGGAGCGGCGGGCGAGCCGCAGAGCAGGATCCGAGCCGGGCCGAGCAGGGGATGGCGGTGCTGGAAGCCCCTGGGCCCGCAGGCTGGGTCGGAACGGCCGCGGTGCTCCCGGGAGGGCTCCGAGCCCGCTCCGGTGTGTGGATGCTCCGGGAGCTGCGGCACCGGGAATGGGAATGCGGCCGGGAAGGCTCCGGCAGTGGGTGAGCAGAAACACAACGTGCTGAGCTGTTTCAGCCTTTCAGCGTCTTCTGCTGGGTCTGTAACATCTTGGATGCTCTCGTTGCCATTAGCGAGGCGTGTTAATGAGCGAGGCTTGCTCAGGCTGCTGGATTTTGTGCGTTTGCTGCGTTGGGAGCAATGTTTGAGTGTCCTTTTGCATAACACATAAAGGGTCATGGACACAAACCTTTGGTTTTTTCACTGTCACAGCAGCCTTAGCTTCTCCAGCCCTTGCAACATATTTAGTTTCTATTTGTGAAAAGCCGACTTTTCTAAAGTTCTCTGTGGGTATTTTTTTCCTCCATAATTGTTACTAGGGGTGCAGTTAAAGGTTGGAGAAGATACAAGGAGGGCGAGAGGCACTCACGCTGCCGGTTCTTTGTGAGTAATCCAAGAGAAACAACTGCCAACCACTGCCACGTTTTCATCTGTTGGTAAACATCAGCTGCTGGTTGGCCTTGAGGGAGGAAGACTGAATTAGTTCCAGATGGAGAACTCTGTCAGCCCATTTAGACTTTCCAGTTGATTGGAGCCAGCAGGTCAGTAATTTAGGGGAGTAATTTTGTTGTTGTTTGCTGTTCTGCTGCCTGCCGTGTGTGGAATCAGTGATATCAAATCTGATATCAAATCTGATATCAGCTGCTGAGGGTGGGGCTTTGGTTGTGCTTGATTGGTCTTGGTTTTAATTAAGTTGTGTAAACAGAAAAGCTATCGGGAAAGCTGTGATAATTTACTTGAATGTAGAGGGATTTTTTTAAATGACCTGGAAAAGGAGGAGGAGTCAGGAATCCATTTTTCTGAACGAATTCTCTTGGAGAACGTGTATCTTTTTTCAGAGTTTTGTGTTAAACTGGGTTACCACCACTTTGTCATTTAATGTGATCGTGTCAGAGGGTACCATACCTCAGTGTGCTGCTGGCATGAATTCCTGGAAAAATGGGAAGAGATAAGGGCAGGGGGATGGAAATCTTCAGTGCATGGCTGTAGCAACTGGAGAATGTGAGGAATGGAAAATTTCACTGTGAAGCAGCTGCTGTGTAGGGTACTGAGACTGACACCAGATATTGAACTCCTCACTACCTCTTTGTGATTTGAGATGTCACATTGGATATTTAAAAAGCATTAAAAATAAATTCTTAAAGAAAATAGAGTGAACTGCTCACAAAATCAGGGCAGGTGCAGTAGCTCTTGTTAGAACTCTTGTATTTTTTCTTTCTTTCATAGGGTGGTTTTGTTGCTTGCTCTGCTACTGTAACTTGCCAAATTTTGTGTAATTTGTGAAAGAAGAAGCTCTGGTGGCAAATAATTTAAGGCCTTTTGCTGCCAAATCTGTTAAAAATGCTTTAACAATTAGTTGCAAGTGCTAATATTTGATTGGAAGGTGTAGCAAAATGAGGAATGTTGCATTATTCCCATGTAATTAAATAGATGTAAAAAATGGAAAGCTCTTGGACATATTTCCCTTCTTTTTTCACTTGGATACATGTAGCAGGGTAGCTGTGAGATTACTGGGAGTTGCAACCCTTGATTATTGTTCTCTTGGACTCAGGTTGATAACAGGTTAATTAGTTTGAAGGGCAGAGGCTCCTGCTTGGATTTGCTGGGTTGGGAAGATTTTTCTGGGGAGTGTTTAAAGACAGAGGGAGATCAAAGTCACTGTAGAATCTGGAAGAGGAGTTAGTTAGAATTGGAAAGGCTGTGTTGAGGTGCTCCAGAGGGAAAAGGACATAAAAACACAAAGTCTGGTGGGTGGGTGGGTGTTATTTTAGAATAAAAAACCTCCCTAAAATTAGTTCTTGTTGCTTAATCTTGGCATGAGGACAAGGAGTTCAAAATCCAGCCTGAGGGATTACAGAAGTCTCTTTATCCTTCATAAAGTGCAGGTGAAATGTGCTATCTTTGCTGCATTAGGGATATAAAATGTCACACATCTTTTTTCCTTCTTTCCCTTTTTTTCCCCTCTTAGGCAGAAAACATGGAGCAGCCCACATGAAGAATCCTGTGGAGTTCATATTCCTGCAAGATGTCCTTGGAAGGACCAAACCCAGTTTTCCATGCCCCTGGGAGATGAAGCATTGACCACATGACATTTTTATTTCAACAAGTGCTTTGTCAGTGTTGCTTTGTGTGAAAGACAAAGAATATTTGAAAATATTTCTTTCTTCACCATGACGAGTGCCCTGACCCCAGAGGCCCCGAGCCCTCCCCAGCTGGAGGAGAAGCCAAAGGGAAAATCCCTGTTCCAGCTGGGCTCCCTCTTTGCTAACAGGAGTGAGAAATTTGTGATTGCTCGCAGTGACAGCTTGCCAGAGGAGAATGTCCTGAAAATCACCATCACAGAGACCACGGTCATCGAGTCCGACCTGGGCATCTGGAACTCCCACGCCCTCATCTACCTCACTCTGTGGTTTTTCTTCAGCTTTTGCACTCTGTTCCTTAACAAATACATCCTGTCCTTGCTGGAGGGAGAGCCCAGCATGCTTGGTACCTTGCTTTTTCTGAATTCCAGTGGGAAATTGGTTTGTTTAGTGGAATGGGAGCCCCAGAAGCTGCCAGAACTCCCAGAGCGTTTGGATAATGCTGGCAGGCACAGGGTGGGGTTGTGGGGTGTCTGTGCAGGGATGAGAGTTGGGCTGGATGATCCCTTCCAGCTCAGGATGTTCCATCATCCTGTGATTGATAATTCCAGATCGTCCCATATAAAGCTGAGGGAGAGAATGGTTGAATTGGAGAGAAAAGTGCTTGGTTTGGAAGGTGTGGGGAGGGATTTTGGGGCTGGCAACTTGGGATTTTGGCCTTTAAAGTGGTTCCTGACACTGTCCTTTCCTCTGCTTGCTGAAAGATGAAATTTTCCTTGTAGAGGAGCTTTAAGAGGAAAAAAAGAGTATTTTTTAAGTTTTCTGTGCTGGAGGGTTTAACAAAAAGTCAAATTTTGAGAAAATTGTTGATGCTCTCCAGAGCTGTGCAGTACAAGAGTTGCCTTTGGTGATCTCTGTTATCCAATGGCCATTTCAGTTCTTTTTTTTTTTCTTCTTAAGGGGCAAAAACCAGGCAGCTCATCTGTGAGCCAGGTTTACAAACATTTGTTTTGTTGTGCTGCTTTGCTTAGGTGCAGAAGTAAAGGGCTGTTGTGAGAATGTATAAAACACACACTGCCAAAACCACCGCGGACATGTTCGTGTAAGAGATCTTCTCATGGCAATTAATTTGTTGTGATCTGATTTTATTTCCCCTCTCTGATCCTCCTTTAGGTGCTGTTCAGATGCTTTCCACCACCTTCATTGGCTGCATCAAGATGTTTGTCCCTTGCTGCCTGTACCAGCACAAGACCCGAATTTCCTACCCCCCCAACTTCATCATGATCATGCTCTTTGTTGGATTAATGAGGTCAAAGGGGAACATTCCCTGCTCCAGCTTTGCTAATATTTGTATTTTTCCAAACCAAAGTTCTGTTCTCGTGTCCTTCCCCTCCCAAGAAATATCCCAGGATAATCTTATTTTTATTTGTTGTTATTGCCAGGATAACCTTATTTTTATTTGCTGTTATTCCTTTGCCCAGATATCAATTTTTTGGCCTTCCCATCACATTTACATTTTTTCAGAGCTCACTTCTCTTTCCATTTACTTTTTCCTGCTCTGTTTTGAGGTTGATGTTTGTTTAGTGCATTAATATTTATCAGCCTTTTGCCTCAAAAGTCATCCAGGCTATTAAAATTTATCTTTTGCAAAGTAAATATTTGCTGGGTGCTGGGGTTGTATTAGTTTGTGGTCGAGGAGGGAATAAAAATGCCTGGTTTTGTTTCCTCTGCCCTGCAAAACTGATAAAGAAAATAAAATAAGTGATAAATTCAATTAATTTCAGAGTTTAAACTGTGGTAATTGTGTGGCATATCTAATTGACACTAAAGATGGATAACTGCAGGTGAAGTTTCCTCGGTGAATTTCTGTTTCTCAGAAGATTTGCACTTTTCTAACTGAGCCTTTTGAAAACTTTGCCTTAAAAAATGGCCACTTGAGCCTTGGAGTGTGTTAAAAAGTCAATTTGTTTTCTGGAAATCCACTCTGCAGCCAAAGCCATTCCACATTGCCCCAGGGTGCCTTTATTTGCTTTAAATAAATAATGTTTAAGCCAGAGCTGAAAGAAAGATCTGACCTTGCAGGTGCAGGAGAAACCACAGAGCAAATTCTTTTTGTGCTGCGTGTCCCAGAGTAGCTCTTGAAGCATTATTTTAATTTCTTCTGGTGCACTCATTAATTCCTTCTTTATTTAAATGAATTTCTTGTGGTTTTCTCCTGCTGCAGATTTGCAACAGTGGTCCTGGGGCTGGTGAGCCTGAAGAATGTGGCAGTTTCATTTGCAGAAACTGTGAAAAGCTCTGCCCCAATTTTCACTGTCATCATGTCCAGGATGATTCTGGGGGAATACACTGGTGAGTCCTGAAATGACATTTAATGACTCTTTTTAATTGGCTGTGGTGAAAGTGTGGCCATTAAAATATAATAAATATAACATCATATTATAATGTAGATATTACATATTATATATTTATTATATATGTAATATAATCATGTCCAGGGTGATTCTGGGGGAATACACTGGTGAGTCCTGAAATGACATTTAATGACTCTTTTTAATTGGCTGTGGTGAAAATCTGGCCAATAAAATAAAATATAATAAATATGGCATCATAGTATAATATATTGTGTATTATGTATTTTGTATTATATATTATGTATTTTATGTTATATATTATGTTCTATATTATGTATTTTGTTATGTATTTTATATTTTCTATATATTTATTTATTTTCTATATATTTTCTATATATTTATTTTCTATAATATTTTCTACATATTTTCTACTATATTTTCTACTAGATTATACATTATGTCTAGATATATATTATACATAAATATACATATAATATATTTTTATATTATATACATAATACATAATATATATTATTTATAATATATAAAATAAAATCTAATAAGTGCAGCTGGAAGAATCTACAAGTTTATAGAATTAAAAAGGTTTGCTGGAAGGGGCTTGTTGTTATTTTTCTGTCAAGAAATTCTTGTGGCTTTAAAAGCTGAAGTTCAGTGTGGGTTTGTTTTTTTTTTGCTGTTCAGAATTTCAAATTCTCTCCAGTAAAAAAGCAGCAAGTGAGTGAGGCTGGCTTTCCCTTGCAGGGCTGCTGGTGAACCTGTCCCTGATCCCTGTGATGGGAGGGCTGGCTCTGTGCACAGCCACTGAAATCAGCTTCAACATCTTGGGCTTCTCTGCAGCCCTGTCCACCAACATCATGGACTGGTGAGCACCAGGGCAGCTCTGGGGGGACGAGGCAATTAATTTAATTAGGAGATGAAAGGAAGTGGTTTAAAATGATTCGTTCTCTGCAGTGCATTGAAGGGTTGGTATCAAAAATGGATTTTTAATAAATTATTCCCTTGCTCGTATCTAACAGCGTTATTGAAATTAAATAATAAAATTCATTAGAGCAAACTCCTTTCTGTGCTGGTAGAAAACATTTACCCACCTGAGGATTGATGAATTCATTGATTTGTCCTAATTAAAATACGGAGAAATGGTGGCTTTTAATTTAAAAGAAATTAATTTTTGTTAATTTTTAATTTTTTTTTTTTCCTCTCAAGTTTGCAAAACGTCTTTTCCAAAAAACTGCTCAGTGGAGATAAATACAGATTTTCGTAAGTATTCAAAATATTTCAGGTTTGGTTCTGTTTATTTGCATAAAGAAATTAAATATTTGTGATTATATTGCACCAAGGTGTAAATTTGATCACCTCTATTATTTTATCAGGGTAAGAAAACTCCCCTGAGCTCCCACTGCAAGTTTCATAATCAGCTACAACTCCCAGAAAGAAATATTTGAAAATAAAAATAGAAATAAAATAGAAATATTTATATAAATATCTCTATATTTATATAACTATGTATGGTTATATGTAATTATAGGTATTTATAAAATATTTATTCAATGTTTATTTAATAGAAATATTAATATATATAATAGAAACATTTTATGAATATAGTATATTTAAATATAATATTTATAAATATAAATATTAATAAGTAGAAATTAAACCATCTTTAGCATTGTTGGGTGTGCAGAAAGCAACTTTTTAACTCTGAAACTTAAACCAAGAGTCAAGTTTTGTGCTAAAAACCACCTCTAATAATATATTTCTATTTTATAATGAGATAAAAATGGGGTTTTGTGCCTTTCAGCTTCAGTCCCTGAGAGCAAACCTCTGTCTTTGCTTTGAAAAATGAAATTTTAAATAATTTTAATTTTGTTTTTCTCCTTTGTAGAGCCCCAGAGCTTCAGTTCTACACAAGTGCTGCTGCTGTGGTCATGCTCATTCCAGCTTGGATATTTTTCATGGTAATTTGAATTAATTATTTTAATGAATTTATAGGGATTTTTAAAAATTAATTTAGGTGTTTTTTTTTAATTGTGAGTAGGATGTGCAACAAAGTTTAATCTTAAATTTCACATTTTATCCTTCCCATTAAAAAAAAAATACTTGAAAATTAATTTTTGATTTTAAAAAAATCAGCCTGAAATACAATTTCTCCAATGTTTGCAAGAGATTGGGAAGGTAAAAAATAGAAAATTTTAAAATAAATCATTTAAGGTGGACATGAGTTGATCCCAAAAGCCTGAATTTATCTCAGGATTTTTGAGTTCAAATCATGATTCTGTCTCAGTGCATTTGAGCTTTGAGATAAAAACTTGCAAAGAAAATCTGGAATTTTTGTTGCTATTCATGTTGTGTACAGGAATATTCACTCTGAAAGCAAATTTTTTTGGAGAAAAAACTACAGGATCTAAATATTCTGTATACTTTAGGTTTTATATTGGGCTAAAATTGAAATATAAAACTCTCTCTGCTCCTAACAGTTGGGTGAAAAATCACTTCTAGATTCTTCCCATGAACTAAACACTTAAATTCCCTTTTTATTTTAGGATGTGCAAATTTTTTTTGGAGAAAAATTGCAGGATCTGAATTTCTTATATATTTTTGGGTTAAAATTTAAATTTAAAACTCTCTCTGCTCCTAACAGTTGGGTGAAAAATCACTTCTAGATTCTTCCCACGAACTAAACACTTAAATTCCCTTTTTATTTTAGGATGTGCAAATTTTTTTTGGAGAAAAATTGCAGGATCTGAATTTCTTGTACATTTTTGGGCTAAAATTGAAATATAAAACTCTCTCTGCTCCTAACAGTTGGGTGAAAAACCACTTCTAGATTTTTCCCACGAACTAAACACTTAAATTCCATTTTTATTTTAGGATGTGCAAATTTCTTTTTGGAGAAAAATTGCAGGATCTGAATTTCTTATATATTTTTGGGTTAAAATTTAAACATAAAACTCTCTCTGCTCCCAAGAGTTGGGTGAAAAACCACTTCTAGATTTTTCCCATGAACTAAACCCTTAAATTCCATTTTTATTTTGGGATGTGCAAATTTTTTTTGGAGAAAAATTGCGGGATTTGAATGTCTTGTATATTTTTGGGTTAAAATTTAAATTTAAAACTCTCTCTGCTCCTAACAGTTGGGTGAAAAATCACTTCTAGATTTTTCTCATGAACTAAACCCTTAAATTCCCTTTTTATTTTAGGATGTGCAAATTTTTTTTGGAGAAAAATTGCAGGATCTGAATTTCTTATATATTTTTGGGTTAAAATTTAAACATAAAACTCTCTCTGCTCCCAAGAGTTGGGTGAAAAACCACTTCTAGATTCTTCCCACGAACTAAACACTTAAATTCCCTTTTTATTTTAGGATGTGCAAATTTTTTTTGGAGAAAAATTGCGGGATTTGAATGTCTTGTATATTTTTGGGTTAAAATTGAAATATAAAACTCTCTCTGCTCCTAACAGTTGGGTGAAAAATCACTTCTAGATTCTTCCCACGAACTAAACACTTAAATTCCCTTTTTATTTTATTCTTTTGGTAATTTAGGATGTGCCTGTGATTGGGAAGAGCGGGAGGAGTTTCAGCTACAACCAGGACATCGTCATCCTCCTGCTGATTGACGGGGTCCTGTTCCACCTGCAGAGTGTCACAGCCTATGCCTTGATGGGCAAGATTTCCCCTGTCACTTTCAGGTAAAATTTAAAATTGTCAGGAGCTTCATTTTCTATTTTTGCACCAGGAACATTATTTTATTTTCTTTGATCAGGAGCACTGTTTTGTGTTTTTTGATCAGGAAACGCTATCTTCTAATTTTCCTTGGTCAGAAACATGATTTTTTATTTTTTTGGCCAAGAACACTATCCTGTATTTTTTGTCAGGATCATTATTTTCTATTTTTTGGTCAGGAATGTTATTTTGTATTTTCAGGAAGTGAAATTTCAGGTGGTGTTTAAAAAAAATTTGTAAACTAAAGGTATTTTGCAAAGAAATTGAGGTAAATCATAGGATGGCTGGGGCTGGAAGTGGAATCTGAGGTGGTATTAAAAAAAGGAAAATTTAGGTTTTTGCAAAGAGGTGAATGAGGTAAATCACAGAATGGCTGGGATTGGAAGTGGAATTTCAGGTGATGTTAAAAAAATAAGGAAAATTAAGGTTTTTGCAAAGAAATAAATGAGGTAAGTCATAGGATGGATGGGGTTGGAAATGGAATTTCAGGTGGTGTTTAAAAAAAAATATAAAGGTGTTTTCCAAAGAAGTTCATGAGTTAAATCACGAAATGGTTAGGGCTGGAAGTGGAATTTCAGGTGGTGCTAAGAAAAAGGAAAATTAAGTTTTTTTGCAAAGAAATGAACAAGGTAAATCATAGGATGGATGGGGCTGGAAGTAGAATCTGAGCTGGTGTTTAGAAAAAAAGGAAAACCAAAGATATTTTGCAAAGAGATGGATGAGTGAAATAGGGAAATTCCAGGATGGCTGGGGTTGGAAGTGGAATTTCAGGTGGTGCTAAAAAAGGAAAGCTAAAGGCATTTGAAAAGAGATGAATGAGGGGAATCACAGAATGGTTGGGGCTGGAAATGGAATTTCGGGTAGTGATAAAAAAAGGAAAATTTAGGTTTTTGCAAAGAAATGAATGAGGTGAATCATAGGATGGATGGGGTTGGAAGTGGAATTTTCAGGTGGTGTTAAAAAAAGGAAAACTAAAGGTATTTTGTAAAGACATGAATGAGGGGAATCATAGGATGGTTGGGGCTGGAGGTGGAATTTCAGGTGGTGCTAAAAAAAAGGAAAATGAAGGTTTTTGCAAAGACATGAATGAGGTAAATCGCAGGATGGATGGGGTTGGAAGTAGAATTTCAGGTGGTGTTAAAAAAAGGAAAACTAAAGATATTTTGCAAAGACATGAATGAGGTAAATCACAGGATGGATGGGGTTGGAAATTATTGAAAAGTGCTAAAAAAAAAAGAAAACTAAAGGTATTGTGCAAAGAAATGAATGAGGGGAATCACAGGATGGATGGGGTTGGAAGTGGAATTTCAGGTGGTGCTAAAAAAAAGGAAAATTAAGGTTTTTGCAAAGAAATGAATGAGGGGAATCACAGGATGGATGGGGTTGGAAGTGGAATTTTCAGGTGGTGTTTAGGGTCAAGGCTGACATTAAAGCCTGGCTGTGGGATGTGGCAGAGCTGCTGTCCCCTCGTGTCCCTGCTGTCCCCTCGTGTCCCTGCTGTCCCCTCGTGTCCCTGCTGTCCCCTCACGTCCCCAGTGTCCCCTCACGTCCCCAGTGTCCCCTCATGTCCCTGCTGTCCCCTCATGTCCCTGCTGTCCCCTCACGTCCCTCTCATGTCCCTGCAGCGTTGCCAGCACTGTCAAGCACGCCCTGTCCATCTGGCTCAGCATCATTGTCTTTGGGAACAAGATCACCAGCCTGTCAGCCGTGGGCACTGTCCTGGTCACCGTGGGGGTCCTGCTCTACAACAAGGCCAAGCAGCACCAGCAGGAGACCCTGCACAGCCTGGCCATGGCCCCACAGCCCCCGGGGCCCACCGAGGACACCGAGCCCCTGATCCCCAAGGATCTGGAACCCTATGATTGATCCATGGGGCTCTGCAGCCTCCCAGCCGAGCGCGGCTCCAAGGGGATCCTCCTGGATTGGGGCTGTTCCTCAGATCCTCCTGGATGGGGCTGTTCCTCAGATCCTCCTGGATGGGGCTGTTCCTCTGGGTCCTCCGAGTTCCTCAAATCCTCCTGGATGGGGTTGTTCCTCAGGTTCCTGTGAGTTCCTCAAATCCTCCTGGATGGGGTTGTTCCTCTTGTTCCTATGAGTTCCTCAAATCCTCCTGGATGTGGCTGTTCCTCAAATCCTCCTGGATGGGGTTGTTCCTCTTGTTCCTATGAGTTCCTCAAGTCCTCCTGGATGGGGTTGTTCCCTTGAGCTCCTGAAATCTTCCTGGATGTGGTTGTTCCTTTGAGTTCCTCAAGTCCTCCTGGATGTGGTTGTTCCCTTGAGTTCCTCAAATCCTCCTGGCTGCGGTTGTTCCTCTGGTTCCTTTGAGTTCCTGGCAGGTCCCACCCAGGATTTGAAGCAGGGAGGAGCTGGGAAGGAAAACCTTGGGAAGCTGATGCCCCAAAGAGAGGACCTGGAACGTGGCAAACGTGGGCTTTGTTGTTTTTCCTTGACTCCAAATCGCATCCAGGCCTGTGCTGGTGGAAGAACTTTGGTGTCCTGTGGGAAAACAATTCCTGTCTCCCTCCCCATCCAAACAATGTGAAAATGGGGCCCCACCACTGAATTCTGCTGGCAGAGGGATGGAGTTGGTGCCTCCTGGAAGCTTCTGGTTGTTGCTCTGCATTTCCTGCACCCTCATTCCTGTGTGCTGCAGAGATGGAAAAGTCCAAGGAGGGGATTGCCCCACTCTGGCCTCACCTCAAGCCTCCAAAACCTGCCAGAGCTCCAGGAGCATTTGGACAGCACAAGAAGGGATTTTGGGGTGGATTTTGATTTCTGTGCAGGGCAGGAGTTGGACTGGATGGTCCTTGTGGGTCCCCTCCCACTCAGGAGATTCCATAATTCTAAGAAGGATTGGAATTCCCACCCTTCCCTCCCAAAAACACCCAAATTTGAAGGGTTTGCTTGAAGCAAACTGTGGGAAATGAGCTGTGGTTGAGCACCTGCTGCTGGCTACAAATCCAGGATTTGTAGTGGTTTAAAATGTAAAAATGGGGTTGTTCCTCTTGTTCCTATGAGTTCCTCAAATCCTCCTGGATGTGGCTGTTCCTCAAATCCTCCTGGATGGGGTTGTTCCTTTGAGTTCCCTTGAGCTCCTGAAATCTTCCTGGATGTGGTTGTTCCTTTGAGTTCCTCAAGTCCTCCTGGATGTGGTTGTTCCCTTGAGTTCCTCAAATCCTCCTGGCTGCGGTTGTTCCTCTGGTTCCTTTGAGTTCCTGGCAGGTCCCACCCAGGATTTGAAGCAGGGAGGAGCTGGGAAGGATCCAGGAAAACCTTGGGAAGCTGATGCCCCAAAGAGAGGACCTGGAACGTGGCAAACGTGGGCTTTGTTGTTTTTCCTTGACTCCAAATCGCATCCAGGCCTGTGCTGGTGGAAGAACTTTGGTGTCCTGTGGGAAAACAATTCCTGTCTCCCTCCCCATCCAAACAATGTGAAAATGGGGCCCCACCACTGAATTCTGCTGGCAGAGGGATGGAGTTGGTGCCTCCTGGAAGCTTCTGGTTGTTGCTCTGCATTTCCTGCACCCTCATTCCTGTGTGCTGCAGAGATGGAAAAGTCCAAGGAGGGGATTGCCCCACTCTGGCCTCACCTCAAGCCTCCAAAACCTGCCAGAGCTCCAGGAGCATTTGGACAGCACAAGAAGGGATTTTGGGGTGGATTTTGATTTCTGTGCAGGGCAGGAGTTGGACTGGATGGTCCTTGTGGGTCCCCTCCCACTCAGGAGATTCCATAATTCTAAGAAGGATTGGAATTCCCACCCTTCCCTCCCAAAAACACCCAAATTTGAAGGGTTTGCTTGAAGCAAACTGTGGGAAATGAGCTGTGGTTGAGCACCTGCTGCTGGCTACAAATCCAGGATTTGTAGTGGTTTAAAATGTAAAAATTCGAGGTGGAAATACTGCATTCTGATCATTTATGGACAAAACTGAAATGCAAATATTCACCCACGTACCTGTGTAAATGGAGTGTTGAATTCAATATTTGTAGTTGCTTAGAGGTAAAAAAAAAACCACCACTGAAAACTGTGGTGACAAAGGAAGCAGGATCTCTGTATTTCTGTAAAAAAAAAAAACAAAACATTTTGTTGTTTTAGTTTCATTTTATTATGCATGAGGAAAGAAATTGATGGGATTTTTTTAATATTATTTCTAAGAGTGCAACAAAAGGCTGCCTTTTAGAAACTCAGGGTTATGAGTCTGACCTGTGTGTAAAATTCCTAATTTCTGATTATATAAAGAACTCTCAGAGGCATCTGTGACAGATTAACCATAAACTGAGGCAAATCTTTATTTCTGCTGCTTTTAAGTTTCCTTTTTTTTTAAAGGAAATGTGTTGTTTGTGGTAGATCAAAGATTAAAAGTTAACTTTCCTTTTCAAAATTCTAAAGAGTCAGTTTTGACAAAAATAAAGCACACATGTAGCTACAAAAACATTCACATGGACTTTTTTGGGAACAAAATTTAAATTAAAATGAGTGGATTTTAATAATTGCCACTCTTCTGGAAGGTTGGAGCATGGATATGTAGTGGTCTTTATGGTAAAAGTAATGGTTAACAGGAAATTACAATTGGAATTCCTGTAAAATTACATTTCCACACACCTCAGTGGCTGCCTGGGGCAGATTCCCCAAAGATCTGAGGGAGAAAAATGCCAATTTTTTCATCCTTGTGTATGTGATAAGTCTGTGGTATTTTGTTTTCTTTTGTACTCCTGTCACTTTTATAAAAGCTGTGGACTGTGGAGCTCTGTGTTTTTTTTTTTTTTTTTTAATTTGTTTTCTGCCAAATACACTGAGACTTTTGAAAGTATAAAAAAAAAGTGTGTTTTGTGTCTTATTTGTGCTTTAGGTGGCTCTGCTCTCACATAAATCCCAACATTTTAAAACCCAGCAGTTTTTTTGTTTTTCTGTGACCCTGTGAGGATTTGGGATTGGGATTTTAACCCCTCCTGCTCTGCTGGGCTTTGTCCCTTTGTGTATTTTTCTTTGCCATATTTTTAGCTTTTACTTTCCTTCGATGAAACAAACCAAAAACCTTTTTATTCTCCAGTCAGAGCAGTAAATCTTTTCTCTTGTGTAAACGAGGAGCTTTTTGCTCTTTGTTAAGAATCCTCCAGCGTGTCCCACCCCAGCTCTTCCTGGGACAGAAAATGGATTTTTTTGGGAACATTTTAGAGTTTCTGTCCCTGAATTTGTCGTGGCCACACCCAGGTACCCGTGATGAGGACGAGCTCTGTGAGCTGGAGCCGTGCATTTTAATTTATTTTACATTTTTTTAATTCGCTCAGAGCGTGTTTTCCTTCAATGTGAATTCCTGATGCACTGAGCTGCAGGTGGGAGGTGTTACAGCACTCCCTGTGCTTCTAAATTGTCATTATTTCCCATTATATCCCGTTGTTTCCCATTATATATCATTATTTCTCATATTTCCAATGGGGAATAGATAATTAGCGATTTTAGAGATCATAATTAGGGACCTTTGCTGTTCTGGGCCGTGTCCCATCCCTGGTCACCTCTGTCACCTCCTCCCTCACACTCTCACTCATTTCCACGTAGGAATTGCAGCTTTTTTGGTCGGAATCAAATTTATTCAATCCAATTTACTCAACCAAATTTAATTTATTTAATCAAACCCCGCACTTTGATTGATGTGGAATTAAACGCGGCCCTGTGCTGACAACGCCTCCATTCGCTAATTCTCTGGGTTTATCACTACCCAGGCACCTCCTGCAGCTTCATTAACGCCCCTCCGCCTGGCCGTTCTGAGAACCGCCCCTCAATTAACGCCTCATTAACGCCTTGAATTAATCACCGCGCCGTGAGGCGGCGCTGACGTCATCGGCGCGCGGCGGCGGGCGGAAGTGACGCGTGACCCGCGCGCTGCTGCTCGCAGTCCCCGGTGGCGGCGGCGGTGAGCGGGGCTCTGAGGGGACAGCGGGGCTCTGAGGGGACAGCGGGGGCTCTGAGGGGACAGCGGGAGATCTGAGGGGACACCGGAGGCTCTGAGGGGACACCGGGGCTGGGGGGACACCGGGAGGGCTCCGCGGGCTTGTGAGGGAAGCCCAGCGCTGAGGGAAGGCGGGCGGGCCCGCGGGTGGCCGCGCTCCGTGAGGGCCGCGGGGCTGTTCGGCCCCTCCGGGGCTCCGCCGAAATGGGCTCCGTGCCGCGGGGTGAGACAGGCCGGGGGTGCCTCAGGACAGGGAGGCAGCGATGAGCTGGGGGCTCGGGGTGTTCAGCGAGTCAAACCCCCGCTTGGCAAATTTTTGTTGTTTATACGTTTTAGTAAATCGAGGAATTAGTGCTCGTTGGCTCTAAGTGGCGTGGTTCTCTTGTTAATTAATGTTCTGCCTTCTATGGGTTAATTATGGTTTCTCCTCTCGTGCTAATTAGTGCCTTTTCCTTAGTGATAGCTGATTTCAGCACAGTTGGCTTCATTATTTTCTTCCTTATCTCAGGAGTTCTGCCAGATATTCCATAAATGATTTATCTATGTCCATATTATTCGTGTTCTGTTACCTTTCTCCCCAAGCTTTTTTACCTCTCCCAAGGTCTCAGGTTATTTTTAAATGTATAACACCAAACCTTGGCCATCAATTTGGGGTTTTTTTGTGTCCTCCAACAACTCCCTGAGCTTTTTCCTTTGGGTTTAAAACCAACATTTTTGGTTCACCATAAACCAACTCTAGCGCGGCTTTACTCAAAAATAAACATTGAGTCTTTGCATTGAAAAAATGGGTGTAAAATAGATGTATTTTTATTTATTTGTGGGGTTTATCATTGTCTCTTTTTGCAGAGGGTGTTTTTTTAAACTCAAATGGGTGATGAAAAGGATTCTTGGAAGGTGAAGACTTTAGATGAGATTCTCCAGGAGAAGAAACGAAGGAAGGAGCAAGAGGAGAAGGCAGAGATCAAACGTATGAAAAATGTAAGCTGCCCTTTGGGACCCACTTTAATTAATGATGTGCTTCATTAATAGAAAACTGCATTTTAATGGGGAGCAGTGCCTGTATCCTGATTTTCTGGTGATTTTTTTTTGATGCTCTGTCAGCTGAAGTTTTTTTTCTGTGGTCTCTAATTCCAAAGTTTAACAAAAAAGTGATGTTTTGTGAAGATTTTGTTGGTCTTGTGATATGCTGTGCTTTGTGTTAGTGGTCAGAAAAGAGAAATAAATTAATGCAGTTAATAATTTAAATTGATATTTTAATTATATAGAATGATATATGGTAATGTTTATATAAATTCAGATAATTTTAAATAAATAAAAATATATAAATAAAGTAATCAACTGGGGCTTGCAGTTCAAGGAACAACTTTTAAAGATTTTTATAGAAGAATCAGTTAAAATCATGGGTTTGGAATCACTTTTATGTTCCTGTTTGGTTATTGATCAGAAAAGATAAGTAAATTAATGTAATTAATAATTTAAATGTAGATAATTATATATAATTATATACAATAATTCATGCTTAAATAAATTAAATACATTAATTTTAAATAAATAAATAGATATAAAAACAAAGTAACCAGCTGGGGCTTGCAGTTCACAGAACAACTTTTAAAGATTTATGGAGGAATGGGTTGAAATCGTGGGTTTGCAATCATTTTTATGTTGCTGTTTGGTTTTGCACAGCTGTGTGCAAAATATTGCAGAAAATACCACACAATAATTACTGCACTCCTCCTCAGTGTTTAATTTTGTCTAATTATGTCAAATCAATGCACTCCAGCTGTAATGAAGTGCTGCTGTCACAAATCAGTGGCTTTTTCAGGGCTGACCAGGCTGAATTTTTGAGGCAGCAGTGAAAGACCTCAGTAATATTTCATTTTATTCATGCTGACCATCCAGTAAATGGTTCTGCTGTTCCCTCAGTCAGATGAGAGGGACTCCAAGAGGGATTCTCTTGAAGAGGGGGAGCTGAGAGACCATCGCATGGAAATCACCATCAGGAACTCGCCTTACAGGAGGGAAGACTCCATGGAAGACAGGTAAGAGTGAGGAAATAAAAAGAGAAAAAAACTCCTCAAATTAACCTTTCAACGTCCTGAGCAGAGGGTTTCAAATATCTGAAGGGAAAATCAAATTTTAGGAGTGGAAATCATTTTTATAGAACAACTTTTGAAGCACTGGTTAAGATTTAACAGTGCTGTGTTCCAGTTTTGGAACAAAATAAAATGGGAATCTTTTCCAAACAAGGAAATCTGTGAATTTCCCCTGTCACCTCCCTGAGTTTATTCCTGTCCTGCCTTCCAGGGGAGAAGAAGATGATTCCTTGGCTATCAAACCACCCCAGCAAATGTCCCGGAAAGAAAAAACCCACCACAGGAAAGACGAGAAGAGGAAAGAGAAACGCAGGCACAGGAGTCACTCTGCAGAAGGTGCCTCTTGCCACTCTGGGAGCTTCTGCTTTCTGGGAGTAGAGTGAATAACAGGAGGAAGCACAGCAGGTGGACACACGACAGAGGGATTCCAGCTGTTATTTCTTTGGCTGTTCAGTGTCCTTAGGGGAATGCCAGGGGTGTGAGGTGGGTGGGAGGACAGAAATCACTCTGAGATAAGGACACGAGGTCACTTTTACTCCTTGAGGCCTGATAAGATTCTCTCTGGCTTCACTGAGTGAGAGACCTCTGATCTTTGTACCTGCCAAGGAAAAAAAAAAAATCCTTTTTAGAGGCATTCCCGTTGTCTTCCTGTCAATAACAACCAGTTTTTACTTTCATACAAGTATTCATGCAAAATCTTAGAGACTTTGGGCTTTCCAACCCCCTTTCAGAACAGGATTTTCCCTTTAAGAAAACAACAGAGGTCATGGCAATATTTCCCTTCAGTTTCACCCCCTGAGTTTTGCTTTCAGTGATTATTTTGAGCAGTAACACTCGGAAATTGATTTCTGTCTGTTCAAGGGAAACATGCCAGAGTGAAAGAGAAAGAACGGGAGCATGAGCGTAGGAAGAGACATAGAGAAGAGCAGGATAAAGCCCGGCGTGAATGGGAGAGACAGAAACGGAGAGAGATGGCAAGGGAGCATTCCAGGAGGGAGAGGTACAGCCATACCTGCCTCCTCTGAGCAGTCCTTGTTGTGAAATGACCAAAAAAATCCACTGTAAAAATTGTCTGTGTTCCTAGGAATGTGTTGTTGACTTTAATTGTTTTTAGGTGCTTCGTTACCGTGGGTATTCCAGGTGAATTCACTGCCAGTGGTTGACTGTAATAAAAAGATTGGATGGTCTTAGAGGTTTTTTCCAACCTGAAAAAATAAGTACAAACCAGTTTTACACAGGGGATTAATTATCTGGATTATCAGGGCATTAATTAACTGGACTGGCTTAATTTCTGCTTAAATCCTGATAGGGTGGAGAACTGGGTCTGGGTCTTTTCAATCTGTTTTTGAAAGGATCAGCTGAAAAACTCCACCTGTTGCTGACTGATGCACACCTGGGGGTGTTGAGAAGGAAGTTGAGTTCAGTGGTTTGGTGCTGCAAACCAGTTTTCCTTCTCTTCACCAGCTGAATTTGTAACAAACAAAAATTATTTTCCAGAGATCGTCTGGAGCAATTGGAGAGAGAAAGGGAAAGAAAAATCCGGGAGCAGCAGAAGGAACAACGAGAGCAAAAGGAGAGAGAGAGGAGAGCTGAGGAGAGGAGGAAGGAGAGGGAAGCCAGGAGAGAAGGTGACTCCCTCTGCATAAATCTTCATATTTACTGTCACTTTCCTGCCTGCTGACACAGGGGTGGAGTGGAGGGATAGAAAGTGGTTTTTATTAGAGCAGTGCCAGAATTTAAAAAATATTAAAGTGGGGAGGCCTTTGACATGGGAGGGAAAATGAAATTTAAGTTTTACATGGGGAGATAAAATAATGTGATGATGTTATGTGCCTTAAATATCCTGAGAATCTGGTCAGTCAGTGGGTCTTTGCCTCTCCCTGTCAGGAGGCAAAGACTCAAAGGCTTTATTTCCTATAAAAACAGGATTTCTGGAGGTGCCACTGTGTGCACCCAGCACAACCCCAGTGGTTCTGAACTCTTTGGCTGAGTCTAACTCAGTCTGATAGAGGTTGATACCTCAACATTCCATGTTCTAAGGATTTGGGGGAATAAATTGCAAAGAGGGAGAGGTCATGTAAGTACTGCAGGCATGGAGAATGCTGTGCTGGGAGTCAGGTGGGAGGATCTGGTGCCTGAAGAGTTTGAGTTCTGCACCTGAACTCTTTGCACAGCGTGTTGGGTGTTTGAAATCTCAGCTCAGATCATTTTTGGTTCAAGGATCTCTGTCCCAGCTTTCAGAGGTAAAGATCAGAGCCCATTCCTGTGACCAGGTGATAGAGATTATTCAAGAATAGCAGAACAAACCATATTTTTTGCTTTCTCTTTCTTGCTCAGCTCATACCAAACAGCTCCTTTTTGTGCTTGGCTTTATGCTGATAGTGCTCAATCTGTGTAACCTTTCATTTAATTGGTTTTATTGTTCTGAATGTTCTGTCAGCTCCTTCTAAACCTCAGCTGGTTTTATTCTTTTACATATTTTCCACTTCTTTCTCTGGCATTAATGCTTTAGAATCAGGGTGTTTCCTGTGTAACATACAGGGCAGCTTGCTTCTGTTTTTAAGTGTGGCAGCAGCTTTCTCTAAGCAGTACAAATCCATATTTTATTTGAGATAAATCAAAGCCCTTCATTCTCCCAGATTTAAGTAGGTTCCTCTCCCACTCTTCCCCATTACCCTGTTAAAAAAAAAATGAACAGCATTCAAATCAGGTGGCTGTGGCAGCCAGGACAACTCTAATTAGGCAGATGTAACAATTTCTTGTGGTTTTGTTTTCCCTAGTTTCTGCACACCATAGAACAGTGAGGGAAGAATATGGAGACAAAGTAAAAATGAGACCCTGGAGTCGCAGCCCTTTGCGCCAGCAGAGAGACAAGCTTGAGCAAGGAGAGAGCAGGAAACCAGGTAGCATCTGCCACTCTACACTGTCTTGGGGGGCAGCAGGAGCTGGGCTGGGGTAAAAGTCAAATTAAATCAAATTCCATTCATTTTTAGTCTCAAACAAACATCCCAGGTGCTCAGTGAAAGTCTTGTCCAGCTCAGCCCCAGCGGTGTAACTCTGGAATCTTCACCAATATCTCTCTTCTAAAGCACTGCTGGTTCTGCAGGAGATGCACAAGTGATAAATGGAGTGGATTTAGGGGTAGGAGTAGCAATTGGAAAATTAGCATCGTTTCAAAATGAGTTACCCCTGTTTCAGTGGTGAAAGAAGCAGCTGACTGAATTTTTAAAATCCTGCAGTTGAATTGCCTTGCAGGTTAAAAAGGGGTTGGTTATTCCAGCTCCAGTTGGATTTGGGGTTAGGAGCTAAACTACCTTAAAAAGTGACCTCACAGGGATCAGTGTAAGCATCACTGATTCTGTCATCTTGTACAAGAAATCAATCCTGGAGACAGAGTTCTGCTTAGATGGTGAATTTTGTTTCCCAAGCCAGAAAACGGTCCCACCTGAAGCTTTGGGGGTAGGGAACTTGCACAAGTGACACAAAAATGCCTTTGTTTGAAGGAGGAAAGCTCTGTGTCTGCCTTGCTGACATGTGCAGCTGTGGAAAGAAGTGTAGGCACGCAGAGCAGGATGGAGTCAGCTGGAATTCCAGGTGGAGGCAGGCAGCAAGGCCTGGGAAGCTCCTGCCTCATCAACCACCAAGGATTTTTCTTGGTGATCACTGCAATGAGCACTGACAGTAACCAGTGTCTAGGGACCCTGTCCTGGTGATTTTTGTCACCATGGTGCTTTTTTCCCTTTTTCCCCCTGTTTTAATTCATCTTAGACCTTAGGAGCACATCATGTTTAAAAATCAGGTCAATGTTCCATATTTTTGGCTGTTGATCCTGCACCACTGCAATTCAGAAAAGCTGTTTGTCATTGAGCAGAGTGTGAAACGATTATTATTTTTATTTTAGTGCTCTGAATTTCCAATACTGAATATTCAGCACTATTTAATGCCAGCAGAAACTGAAGCAGTTACCTGGGAATTCAGAGGCTTGGAAATGATGCTCAGTTAGCACTGTGTTTTTAATTTTTGTGGTTTCAGCAGTAAAAGAAGAGAAGCCAGAAGAGAGGGATCCTCTGTCAGACTTGCAAGACATCAGTGACAGTGAGAGAAAAACCAGCTCAGCAGAGTCTTCCTCAGGTGACTAAATGCAATTTAGGAGCTGTAATTAATTGTACAGATGTAATTAATTTCTCTGCTGAGCAAACACTGAGAGTGTTAAGTGCCTGATGTTTCCTGGGCAGAATCTGGATCAGGCTCAGAAGAGGAGGAGGAAGAATCCAGCAGTGAAGGCTCTGAGGAAGAGGGAGAGGAAGAGGAGGAGGAGGAGGAGACCGGAAGCAATTCTGAGGAAGTGTCTGAGCAATCAGCAGGTGAGGATTTCACCAAGCAGGGTACAGGGGTGTGTGATTTTATTTTATTTTTTCCTCATCCTGTGTTATTTTATTTGAACATTTTCCTTTTCTCTTAGTCTAGGCTAAACTGAGACCTCACAGGTCAAGATAACTAAAAAGAAAACACCCAAGTACAAGTCCCATTTTATCCTTTTGTGTAGAGGTAATACCAATTCTTCTTCTAAGAAGCCAGATCAGAAAACTGAGAGCCAATTTTGTCTCCCTAACTGCTCAGCAGTTCAGTAACACATCAAATACTCTGCAGAGCACAATTTGCTCTTCTTTGGGGGGTGGTGAAATCCAAATGTCTTTGTCATTTTGAATTATTTTCTGTTGCAAATTTCAGAAGTTTTTTTTCAAATGAATGAACGTAATAACACCAAGTTCAGTAAAGAAGTCTTGAGTGCAGCTGTTCTTGTCATTAATTAGTAAAGAAAAGGCACAAGAGCAGGCTCTGATGGCTGGGTGTTTTTCTTTAAAATCAATTAATACAGTTAATAAGGAAATGTTCATAATTGATTTACCTGCCCATATCCCAATTCTTAGACAGTTGATAAGAGTTGTGTTCCCTGTTGGAAATGAAACAGAAATTCTTGGTCACTGAGAGTGCAGAAGCCTGGTGAGACAGGAGAGGATTCCAGCAGGGATTTGCCTCCCAAGGAGCTGCAGAAATGTGCATTTTTTCCCATCAAACTTGGTTCTGTTTTGCAGAGGAGGTGAGCGAAGAGGAAATGAGTGAAGAGGAGGAACGGGAGAATGGAAACCACATCCCAGTTGGTACAATGCAAATCCTGACTGTTTTAAAGAAGTGTTTGGCTGAGTTTTTGCAGCTAGATAAATCTATTTCTACAAATGTTTAAAAGATTGAAATGCTTTTCTCTTGTCAAACTCAGAAATTCCTTGAAATCTGCTTTATGTTTAGAGGGAATCAGTCTAATGAGCTGATGTTTCCTTCCCTTTCATTTTGTGTTCTTTTGTCCTGTCCTCTCATCAAAATCAGAGAATGAGACCCAGAATGAGACAGAGACATCCTGGGTCACTTTTCCATTCTGGTGTAAAGATTTATTTTTCTGACCTGCTGCATCAACACTGGAAACTGTAGGTGAATTCTTGAAAGAGCAGAGGAGAAATTTGGCTTCTCCACCATCCTCTGCCATGCAGTGCTCAATGTCACCCTTTATTTACCTAAAGCTGAGTTTAATTAATCCAGACAGCTCCTCTTTCCACGACTGATTCTGACTTTTAAAGTTCCAGAGTCGAGGTTTGACCGGGATTCTGCAGGGAGTGAGGTGGAGGAGGAGGAGGTGGGGGAGGGATCCCCTCATTCCAATGCCATGACAGAAGGGGAATACATTCCTGATTCTCCAGCTTCCTCCCCCATCGAGCTGAAACAGGAGCTTCCCAAGTATCTTCCTGCCCTCCAGGTAGGGGATCACCCTCTTCAACATTTTTGATATTATTGGTATCTGTTATCTTGGTATTGCTGTCTCAAAATAGATCCTTGTGAGAGGAGAGCTCTGTTTTCATAAACAGACTGGTTATTGTTTCTGTAGCCAACAGCAAATTGTAGAAATACTAATAAAAATCAGATTTTTACTAATTAATTATGTGAAAGGTGCCGAATTGCTGCCTTTGCCTTTGTGTTTCAGATTATTCTTTGCAAAAGTGAATGGAATAATTCAATTAATCTGCTGAAACACAGGCTCTGTCCAGTTTCCTTTAGAAACTCCATGAAAAACAAACCCCAAAGATACCCTTCTCATATGGTTTATAGCTGAATTCTTCTGGTAAATTTTAACTGTGAAGTTGCTGAAGTTCTTAAAAAAGCAAAACCTTCCCCCAGATGCTGGAGGAATAAATGTTGTTTGTCCCTGTGTTTTTTCAGGGCTTAAGCAGCGTGGAGGAATTCCAGTGTTTGAACAGGATTGAAGAAGGAACCTATGGTGTGGTGTACAGGGCAAAGGACAAAAAGACTGGTGGGTATCAGAGCCCTCCACTTTCCTCAGGGTATTTAGGGCTGCAAATTATCATTCTGCATTTCTCAGTGATGAACAAAATCTATTTAAAATATCATTTTTTAAAATATTATTTTAAAACATTTCTTCACCAGCAAGCTGCTGGTTTTCAAGGCAGAACAGCACAGATGATTAAATGTTTAATCAGTGAGAGAACAGCTGGTAATGTGAATTATTAACTGTGTGATGGGAAATGTGTTTCCTTTGCAGATGAAATCGTGGCTCTGAAACGACTGAAAATGGAAAAGGAGAAGGAAGGTTTTCCCATTACTTCTCTGAGAGAAATAAATACAATTCTGAAAGCACAGCACCTGAACATTGTCACTGTCAGAGTAAGGCTGCAATCTTTTATGTCTGAAGTACTTTTGTTCTTAAAATGCTCCTCTTGGATTTTACATATGAAAATATCAGCAACCCTGGCAGATGTTGGTCTGTGAACAGTTGTGTGCCACTCATAAGGCTGTACAGACATCACTGTCTGCACAATCTGGTGTTCTACAAAAAATGAGCTGTTTTGAAATAGAAAAACCACATTTTCTAAGGATTTTACCAATGGCAGCCTCCATCCTCTTTCCAGTACATTTCTAAAATTGATTTTGGATGCTTTTTGTAGGTTTTGCTCATCTGGTTCTGTGTTGCAGGAGATCGTTGTGGGCAGTAACATGGATAAAATCTATATTGTGATGAATTATGTGGAACACGACCTCAAGAGCCTGATGGAAACAATGAAACAGCCTTTCCTGCCAGGTACTGCTTGCCACAGTGCCCTGGAATTCTCAGAGCAGGAAAAGTGGCCAACACAAATGGCCCTGCTGGCTTTGGGCAGTGCCATGTGTTGCTGTGGAATGTCCTGTGTTCCTTGGAACTGAGACTTCCTGGCTTTTTCTGTTTGTTCTCTAAAAACCTGACCCAAATTAAGGTGTTGGCTGATCCTCGTGGTGATAGCTGGTGATGAATCCAGTTTGTGTGTCTGGGGTGGAGCTGTTCAGAGGTGAAACTGGGGGAGTTCCACCTGTGCTGAACTGGAAAAGAACACTGGGCTTTCATTTTGGCTGCTTCCTATGAGAGCCAATAATTTCTGAGCATAATTTGGATGAATTCCACTTGCCCAAATGAATTTTGCTGTTCTGTGACACATTTTTATAGTGCAGGCTCTACTGTGCTTTAACTAGCCACTCCTTCCTGCCCTCTTCCCTGTCCTCCAAACAAACAAAACACAAATTAAAGGTAGATTTCTTTTCTTCAATGCATTTTTTGTCATTCCAGGGGAAGTGAAGACTTTGATGATTCAGTTACTACGAGGGGTCAAACACCTCCACGACAACTGGATCCTTCACAGAGACCTGAAAACTTCCAACCTGCTGCTCAGTCATTCAGGCATTTTAAAAGTAAGAATTTGGAGATTAAAAAAAAAAAGAAGAAATCAGGACAAATTCTACACTGCAGAACTACACAGAGTCACAGCTGTGCCCAAAGTTCTGTGCAGTGGCACTGATGGTGAATGAGCAGTGCTGGAAATGTTGCTTCTTTTCCTTTCAGGTTGGAGATTTTGGATTAGCCAGGGAATATGGGTCTCCCCTGAAGCCCTACACCCCTGTGGTTGTGACCCTGTGGTACAGAGCTCCAGAGCTGTTGCTTGGAGCAAAGGTGAGTTTTTCCTTGTTCCTCTGGCTGCTGGAGCAGTGACTGCATTTATGAAATACCTGATTTTATAAATCATGATCAGAGTGTGGGCATGCTTGGGTCTTTGTGTTGATTCATAGCTGAAAATCTTGAATATTCAGTATTATTCCTCCTAATGACATCTAAAACCACCCTCCCCACACAGAGGGGTTTTGTCCCTTGGAATGCTGATGTGGTCAGTGCTGGTGGACTTCTCATGGCAAAATGTCACCTTTGGCAGCTAGATTTTAAATTTCTTTTAAAATTAGTCTAAAAGCTGTGACATCTGAGAGCAGAACAAGGTAGTGGCACTATTCTAGAATGTTCCCTGTTGGTAACTGAAATCTGGGTGAAATCAGGGTTGCAGTGGCAAGAGCCCTGCCAGAAAACAATACTGGTTTGTCAGCTGTGCTGCTTTGTTTGTGAGTGGAAAAGAGAGGCATCAGTGTGGAGACCTCACCTTTCATCCTGAAATATTTGTGTCATGGGTATTGCTCATAATTCACAGTAATTAGAAATTTGACATAATTACAGTTGAGACCTGGCCTTTGGGTGTGGGACTGGTTGTGTGTGTTCTGCTCAAAAAAAACCTGAATAAACCCCCAGAAGCCACAAGATCCCTCCAAACAACTCAGTGAAAATATCTTCCTGATTTTTCTGAGGTGTAACTTTATTTCCCTTCTTTCCAGGAGTATTCCACAGCCATAGACATGTGGTCAGTGGGGTGTATTTTTGGGGAGCTGCTGACACAGAAGCCACTGTTCCCAGGGAAGTCAGAAATCGACCAGATTAACAAAGTTTTTAAGGTAATTTTGAAAATATTTTGGCATTTTGACTGGTTTTAGAAATAGGAGCATTGGAGTAGTGATTGCTGTTCTTTAGCAGAGATTCAGCCTCAATAAAAAGTTATTTAATCTGCTTTACCACATTTTGAGTAGGCTGAGACCACAATTTATTGTGTCTGTTTTCTCTGGATACTTCCCAACTCCTCATGAATAAATAAAAGCCTGCACTCTGAGTTTATTAAAGAGCTATTTTAATTTGCAGGATCTGGGTACTCCCAGTGAAAAGATCTGGCCTGGTTACAACGAGCTGCCAGCAGTGAAGAAAATGACCTTCACAGAATATCCCTACAACAACCTGCGCAAGAGATTCGGGGCTCTGCTCTCTGACCAGGGCTTCGACCTCATGAACAAGTGGGTGCCAAATTCCAGGGGATCCAAATCAGTGTAATTGTACCCAAAAATAAAGTTAGACCAAGGTAATAGGATGATATCAGATGTCCACTAATGAAATTATACCAGAGTAGTAGAATTGTGCCCAATGTCCTGTAATAAAATGATAGCCAAGTAATTATTGTACCCAATGCCCTGTAATATAAAATTATACCAAATTAATACCCAATGTCCAGTAATAAAATGTAGCAAATTAATAGAATTATACCCAATACCCACTAATAAAATTATACCAAATTAATAGAATTTTACCAATACCAGTAATAGAATTATACCCAATACCCTGTAATAAAATCAAACCAAATTAATACAAAATGTCCAATAATAAAATGATACCAAATTAATAGAATTATACCCAATGCCCAGTAATAAAATTATACCAAGTTAGTACAAAATGTCCAATAATAAAATAATACCAAATGAGTAGAATTCTACCCAATACCCAGTAATAAAATGATACCAAATTAATAGAATTATGCCCAATACCCAGTAATAAAATGATACCAAATTAATAGAATTATACCCAATACCCTGTAATTAAATTAAATCAAATTAATGCAAAATGTCCAGTAATAAAATGACACCAAATGAATAGAATTATACCCAATACCCAGTAATAAAATGATACCAAATGAATAGAATCATACCCAATCCCCAGTAATAAAATGATGCCCAAGTAACAGAATTACACCCAATACCTACTCACGGAATTACACCAAATTAAAGAATTCCACCCAACACCAGTCACAGAATCATCCCCAATACCCAGTGCCAGAATTCTGTTAAACACCGCAAACCCCTCAAGAGCATTCCTTGAACAGTTCACAGTTTTGGGGGCTCAAGTCTCCTTTTCCCCTGCTCCTTGGCAGTTTCCTGACGTACTACCCGGCGCGGCGGATCACGGCCGAGGACGGGCTGAAGCACGAGTACTTCCGGGAGACGCCGCTGCCCATCGACCCCTCCATGTTCCCCACCTGGCCGGCCAAGAGCGAGCAGCAGAGGGTCAAGAGGGGCACCAGCCCCCGGCCCCCCGAGGGAGGGCTGGGCTACAGCCAGCTGGTGAGTGTGCCACCAGCAGGGCTTGGGCTGGGCTGGGCTGGGCTTGGGATCCTCGCTGGCAGGGAGAGTCCAGCTTCCCTTCCCAAAGGCCAGACAGAGTCCAGCTTCCCTTCCCAAAGCTCAGACAGAGTCCAGCTTTCCTTCCCAAAGCTCAGGGAAAGTCCAGCTTTCCTTCCCAAAGCTCAGGGAAAGTCCAGCTTCCCTTCCCAAAGCCCAGGCAGAGTCCAGCTTTCCTTCCCAAAGCCCAGGGAAAGTCCAGCTTCCCTTCCCAAAGCCCAGGGAAAGTCCAGCTTCCCTTCCCAAAGCTCAGGGAGAGTCCAGCTTTCCTTCCCAAAGGCCAGGGAAGGTCCAGCTTTCCTTCCCAAAGCTCAGGCACAGTCCAGCTTTCTTTCCCAAAGCTCAGGGAGAGTCCAGCTTTCCTTCCCAAAGGCCAGGCAGAGTCCAGCTTTCCTTCCCAAAGGCCAGGCAGAGTCCAGCTTTCCTTCCCAAAGGCCAGGCAGAGTCCAGCTTTCCTTCCCAAAGCTCAGGCAGAGTCCAGCTTTCCTTCCCAAAGGCCAGGCAGAGTCCCGCTTGCCTTCCCAAAGCCCAGGGAGAGTCCAGCTTCCCTTCCCAAAGCCCAGGGAAAGTCCAGCTTCCCTTCCCAAAGCTCAGGGAGAGTCCAGCTTTCCTTCCCAAAGGCCAGGGAAGGTCCCGCTTGCCTTCCCAAAGCTCAGGGAAAGTCCAGCTTTCCTTCCCAACGGCCAGGGAGAGTCCAGCTTTCCTTCCCAAAGCCCAGGCAGAGTCCAGCTTCCCTTCCCAAAGCCCAGGGAAAGTCCAGCTTCCCTTCCCAAGTCAGTGCTGGTGACTTGGTGGCACAGGGCAGAGCCTCCCCTGGGGCTGATCCTTGCTTGGGATCCTGAGGTTCACCCAGACTGGCAGGGAAAGCCCATTTTTTTTCTTTCTCTTTTTTTTCTTTCTCGTGCATCAAAAGTGGGTTCAGGAAGTAGGAACACTCCAACTGCTCTTAGCAATGTCAGATTTAGAAATAGCAACATTTAAAGATTATGAATAACCTTAACTGTGATGCCACTGAATCAAACATTTATTTCTCATCTTGAGATACTTTCTTTGTGTTGTTTAGATTTTTGGAGGGGTAATTGCAGCTGCCCAGCCCCTGATCAGTGCCCTGTGCTTGGTTTTCACAGGGTGATGATGACCTGAAGGACACAGGTTTCCATCTGACCACCACAAATCAAGGAGCATCAGCTGCAGGACCTGGCTTCAGCCTCAAGTTTTTTCCCAAAGCTCAGGCAGAGTCCAGCTTTCCTTCCCAAAGCTCAGGCAGAGTCCAGCTTTCCTTCCCAAAGCTCAGGGAAAGTCCAGCTTCCCTTCCCAAAGCTCAGGGAGAGTCCAGCTTTCCTTCCCAAAGCTCAGGGAGAGTCCAGCTTCCCTTCCCAAAGGCCAGGCAGAGTCCAGCTTCCCTTCCCAAAGCTCAGGGAGAGTCCAGCTTCCCTTCCCAAGTCAGTGCTGGTGACTTGGTGGCACAGGGCAGAGCCTCCCCTGGGGCTGATCCTTGCTTGGGATCCTGAGGTTCACCCAGACTGGCAGGGAAAGCCCATTTTTTTTCTTTCTCTTTTTTTTCTTTCTCTTTTTTTCTTTCTCTTTTTTTTCTTTCTCATGCATCAAAAGTGGATACAGGAACTAGGAACACTCCAACTGCTCTTAGCAATGTCAGATTTAGAAATAGCAACATTTAAAGATTATGAATAACCTTAACTGTGATGCCACTGAATCAAACATTTATTTCTCATCTTGAGATACTTTCTTTGTGTTGTTTAGATTTTTGGAGGGGTAATTGCAGCTGCCCAGCCCCTGATCAGTGCCCTGTGCTTGGTTTTCACAGGGTGATGATGACCTGAAGGACACAGGTTTCCATCTGACCACCACAAATCAAGGCGCATCAGCTGCAGGACCTGGCTTCAGCCTCAAGTTTTGAACTCAACATGAAAAAGGAGAGGGGAAAAAAACCCCAAAAAGCAAAAAATAACAAAAAGCACCATTCATGTGAGTGGATTTGAGTGCCCTGGTTCTGTTCTGTGTCAGGGGCACCAGATGTTTTTCCCTGTGAAAAAAACTCAAAAGATTATCACAGATTCCAAGGCTCTTGTTTTATAAATCAATGTGGAGTTTAACTGCTGCATTCCATTAGAGGACTGGAGTTACCTGAAAACCCCAGGATCATCACAAACTGTGGCAAAGGACAACTTGAAAAAAAACAGTCCTGGAGCAGTTTCTGGTTTATTTTTAGGGGTTTTTTGTTGTTGTTGAGTTTGTTTTGTTTTGTTTTTCCTTGTAAATTTGTAGAATTAAAATACATTTTCAATTGTTTAATAGAGTGAAGGATTTCATTGCTTCACATGCAGCAAAGTGGGATGTTGGTGACAGTAAAGAGAGTTTATTTTTTATTTTGAGTAAGTAAATGGTTTGTGTCTGAATATATTTGGGGCAAAAAGAAAAATGACAATTATGAGATTTGTATCCTGTTACCTTGGAGAGAGCTGGGCTGGGTTTGATACTTCCTGACCAGATTTTTTTTCTTTTGTTCTGTAAATATATTTACACTGCAAAACAAATTACTCTATTGTTTTATAAATCAAAAAGATTTAATATGGAGACTTGAAACTTTATTTTCTGTGAAAGTTGCTTGTTTTTTTTTTTTTCATATATGCCCTTTTTCCATCCAGAGAAGAACTCAGCTTTTAGTGGTTGTGCAAGGCCACATTCCAGTCCTTTCTGGGGAAAGAGGAGAGGAGGAATCATGTTGGAATCTCATCCTCTGCAGCCCCTGATTTGTGAAGCTGTCACTTTGTTTTGGGAACAGGGAGATCTGGAAAACACCACATTTTCCTGCAACCACAGCTGGGCACCAGGCCAGCGAGGGATTAACTCCAATCCTAAACATTTTATCAGTTTCAGTCCATTTTGGGGAGTTTTGCTGGGGAAAGGCTGGAATGTGGCTGTGCTGCAGTTGTGGTGAGCTGGGAAAGCAGTCTGGGTGTTTTCCTGTGGAGAAAGACAAAACTCCCTGTTCCCCTCAGGCTGAAGGAGAAACAGCTGAACATTCCTGGTTCCAGAAGCTTCCCCAGGAAGCCAGTGAAAAGCAGGAGTGCAGGGAAGCTGTGCAGGATTTAAGCATGACCCCAGTGCAGAGTTTGGCCATGACATGGAATTGTTCCCTTCCCAGCTTTGCCAGCCACTCCTGACTCCTCTCCAGCTGGATGGGGCACGTTCCCCTCATCCTCAGGGAGGAAGTCACCTCATTCCTGCAGGCTCAAGGCTCAGACCCCTCAAGGACCAGACTGAGCAGTGCAGGCCCTTAATTACCAAACTGAGCAGTGCTGACCCCTTAATTACCAAACTGAGCAGTGCTAACCCCTTAATTACCAAACTGAGCAGTGCAGATCCCTGCAGATCCCTTAATTAACAAACTGAGCAATGCTGACCCCTTAATTACCAAACTGAGCAGTGCTGACCCCTTAATTACCCAACTGAGCAGTGCTGACCCCTTAATTACCAAACTGAGCAGTGCTGACCCCTTAATTACCCAACTGAGCAGCTCAGATCCCTTAATTACCAAACTGAGCAGCTCAGATCCCTTAATTACCAAACTGAGCAGCTCAGATCCCCCAAGACCAAACTGAGCAGCTCAGACCCCTCAAACTCCAAACTGAGCAGTGCAGATCCCTGCAGATCCCTTAATTAACAAACTGAGCAATGCTGACCCCTTAATTACCAAACTGGGCAGTGCAGAACCCTCAAGAACCAAACTCTGAGCAGCTCAGACCCCTCAAGCACCAAACTGAGCAGTGCAGACCCCTTAATTGCCAAACTGAGCATCTCAGGACCAAACTGAGCATCTCAGACCCCTCAAGGACCAAACTGAGCAGCTCAGACCCTCTAATTACCAAAAAGAGCAGCTCAGAGCCCTCAAGAACCAAACTCTGAGCAGTTCAGGTCCCTTAAGGACCAAACTGATCAGCTCAGACCCCTTAATTAGCAAATTGGACAGCTCAGACCCCTCAAGGACCAAACTCTGAGCAATAAATGCCTCTTGGGATAAGAGGAAAGCCCTCAAACCACAGGAAACCTGGGGGGAAGAGCTGTTCTGTGTCTCCTTGAACTGAACATGTTGGAGTGAGGAGCAAAACAGAGTTTTGTGTGACCCTCATCCTGACAAGTGAAAGAAAAGTAAATTAAGGCTTAGCAGTGTAATTTCTTCTATTGCAGTGCACCAGGATGTGAAAAATGGCAGGAAAACACTCTGAGTGTTAAACTTGTCCTTTTCCTGCCACCCCACTGGCCCAGGGGCTGGGGCAGAGTCTGCTCCTGCTTTGCAGCAGCTCACACAGCTCCACATGACACTTTTCTTACAAAAAAAAAAGGTTTTTAATTCTCTGTACAGCAAATAGTTGATAAATTCTTTATCATTCAAAGGAATCTGGAGGAGTTTGACATTCCAGTAACCAGTCCCAGAGTCTCTTTTGCCCCAGGTACCAAAGCAGCTGCTGGAGAATTCAGTTGCACTACTGGAGATTAAATCTAAAATGCCAAAGAAACAGCTGGAAAGAGGAGCAGGAGCTGAATCCAGGGCTGGGTCAGTGCTTCAGTCTGATTCTCCAGGAATAAGTAGTCAGGATTCTTTCTTTTTTCTTCACTATGCAAGTGTAAGTTCCTTCATTAATTGCATTTGCAATGATGCTCATGTGATCTTCATTTAGGGATAAATAACCTGGATAGGAATATTCCAGAAGTTCCTTGTCTTTATACCAGCTGTCAGAAGAAAAACAATGGAAGTTAAACTCAATATTAATTATTTCTACTAATAAACTTTGCTGAATAAGTGTAGAGCAGAGACTTTACCAAAACACAGTTGAGTTTTACTCTTTATTTCAGGTGGATAATCAGGGCATAATCGTGAGTCATTTTGGAGTTTAAATCTCTGAAAGTTGATGGGAGTTTGGGTCCTCAAGTCTAAACCAAGTCATGGATTTGAGCCAACCTAAATTTTAGATACTGAAGTATGAACAGGTTCTGGATGTAACAGCCAAATAATTAAAACCTGAAAAGGTAAATTGAAATTCTGTGGATTTTTTGGAGAATGCAAAAAATATAAATATTTATAATTTTTTTAAAATATAAAATTATAAAAATACTAAAAATTTTTATAAAAATATAAATTTTTATAACTATTTTGCAGAATATAAATAATATAAATATTCAAGCCAGGGAATTTGGCTTGATAGTAGGAATTAGCTTTGTGCTACATATAAAATTGGATTTTATCCTTTTTGAGCTCCAGATTATAAACCCCATCCTTCTTTATCCTGTTTTTGTCATTCTTCCTCGTGGATTTTGGCACGTGGAGTTTCCCAAGGCCTGGATGAGCACAGAGCACTTACTAGACTTTGCCTTTTTTATGGATGATCTTCTGCCCGCAGCGGAAGGTGACGTTCCTGCCCTCAGAAACTGTCTTGGTTTTGGTCCTTGGTGGGGGCAGAGTGGGGGGCACCGTTGGAAATGGGAATTCTGTGCAAGGAGAGGAGGAAATGGCAGCAGTTAAGGAGCTTTATCACCCCAAAACACTTAAATTAATACATTTAAGGCTCCTTAAATAATGATTTTGTGAAAAAGTGCCTCCTGTTCCTGAGCAATTCTTGGATAGACAAAGAATGTGATTGATGTGTAAAGGCAAAAATTTTGTGGTGGGATAAAAATCAATTTGTCCCTTTCACAGCTGTGGAAGAGGACATGAACAGTCCAGTGTGTGAAAAGCCTGTGGAATATCTGGGTTTTTCATTATCTAATTGCATCTTTCATTAAGATTCATTTTCATGGCCCAAAAAACCAAAAACCCTCTGTGCTGAAGAGGCACTGGTTATCCAGGATATCCTCAGGACAGCAGTTTTTATCTGACTCAATTTACCTGCCACAGCTGCAGCAACTTGCCCTGCAGTAGTTCCTCACCTGAGGCTGGAGAAGGTGATTAACATCCTGTGGTTAATCACCTTTCTGTGCTGTTCTGGGAGCAGCTCCAGTCCAGCAGTGCTGGAATTGTTTTTGTCCTGTTTCTGCCCCATCCCTGCCTCAGCAGCTGCTCTGCAGCCCCTCTCTCTGCCTTGCTGTTCCCTGGCTCAGCTAAAGCCAGGAATTAAATTCCAGAGAGGAATTTCACCTTCCACTCCATAAATGTTGAATTATTCCTCGTTCCAGGCCTGGATCTGGGCTCAGATTCCAAAACCACCCTCTCTGCTTGGAGCTGGATCACCTGTGTCTCCGCTGCCTGGTGTGAAATGCAGAGCCTGCCTGTCCCAGGTGACTTTCCCCTCCCTGTGTGCAGCCCCAGCCCCAGGGCAGCCCCGGTACCGTAGCAGAAGTCGCAGCTGGACGGGCAGTGCTTCTTCATCAGCCTCCTGCGCTTCTCACAGAAGCCTTTCTTGGCCCACGCTGGGCACATAAACAACCTGTCCTTACAGCCTGGAACAGGAGACGAGCTGTTAGAGGGGCTGGGGGAGGCTCAGCAACCAACTTCAGGCAGGAAATTCAGAAGGAGCAGCGCGGAGCCGGGATGGGGAACGCTCCAGAGCAGGAGCGCGAGGTGGGATTGACACCACGAGTGCTCCACAGCCTCCGGCTGGCAGGTGAGGCAGAGCCTGCAGAGCCCGAGCCCCCCTCTCACCGTAGAGCCTGTGGATTCCCCACACCTCGTCCTGGGAAATGCTCTTCTTGCCCGTCAGGGTGGCGTTGATGTGCATGAGGGCGTTGGGGTTCAGCGAGTGCATGAGGCCCAGGGCGTGTCCGATCTCGTGGGCAGCCACGTGCACCAGGTCTGTCAGCCACACTCCTGGGGAGAGAAACCAGCTGGGACTGGGCTCCACAGCTCTGCTCTGTCAGCATTCTTCCTGGGGTGAAACCACAGGAAAGGTTTTGATGCCTCGG